GATAACTTGGAGCTTTCACAGCTGTGTGCACCTGGCAGCAGATAGTGAGTAAGAGATGGGACACTCTCATCTTGTCACTCATCTCAGAAGTTTGAGTTTGCTTAGCACAGAATGAAAAAAGAAAGTACTTCTTACTTTCATACTTCGAGTACATTTCAGAGCCTGTACTTTTTCACTTTTACTTGAGCAAGAAGTTGGATCAGTACTTTTACTGGAGTGTTTTATACACAAGTATCTGTTTATCTACTTGAGTAAAGAATGTGTTTTGCCACCTGTGTCTGTTATTGACCTTCGTACAGGAAAAGCAAGACCCTGCACCAGACAGACTTTTAGAGGAAGAACCGTCACTTCATACGCCATAAAAAATCCTTCATCTAGAGACAGGCTATGGAGTGGGATGGTGGGAAGTCTCATTAATCTGTGTCACTGAACTGGAAGTGAAAACCCCCTAGTCAGTGTAACAGAAATGAGTTGGTTGGCTCTGGGTCTGAAATAAAGCAAGGCTGGACTTTCAGACAGCCTCTCATAACAGTGTAATGGTCCACAGCTGTCATAACATTGGAAGACTCTCAATTCCTGTTCATAAAGGGGATTAAAATATCAGAAGGAAACCACATCTAGCTCGTAGCCTGGCCAGAGGAAAATTACAGAATCGTAAGCGTTTTCATTTTAACAGACCAAAAGCGCGGTCACAAACTCAACAGGCAATGTTACTGATTATGGAAAGGTTTGAGAGGGAAACTATGTAGTAGATGTTGAATAGTTGCACTTTGCATTGTAAAGAGATTACATCTTTATTATAGTGAATGAATTTGTCAGAAGGAAACACCGAAATAAATAGGCTACTCAAGAAGTTTGTTGTTATAAGAAATTACCGTGGTTTCCTGTTTCAGTATTCACATTCTTCAGCCTGACAGTTGCCATCAACTCATGACATAAAAATACCTTGTTAGAAATACATCTATATTATTCGGAAATAAATAATCTTACCCTGGAAAGAAACAACTCCCTCAAGAAACAAAGTGACATTGTGCCTCATGTGGCAGGTGTTTGATAAGAAAGGTATTTGTCACCTTATCTGTGAGTTTCTTCCTCCTAGCAATAGTCACTGATTAATAGCCTCGGGGGAAAGCCATTCCTTAATTTAACTGCTCCTAACACCATTAGCTTATCTAAGGTATGCATACATAGAAAATGAGACAAAGGGGGACTCACCTACATACCTAATACATAAAAACACATATATCTATATCATATATATAAATAAAGGAGTTCTGGAGGTTTACATTCCACATCTAATCTGTGTGACTCATCTTGCTGTGGACGTATGGGAAGCAGTGACTGGTTGTAATTGCAGGCTTTGAGAAATAAGGTAACTCTATACCCTTAGTTCCACATACAAAGATGTCATGGAGAGTATGGTTCATATAAGAAAATATGTGCTTCTAGATACTTATGAGGTAAAGACAACAATCACTTACTGTAAGTTTCGTGGTCCTGTATGTCTTTTGACTAAGTGTGTAAAGGTTATTTTAGGTATAAATACTGTGTGATATTTATATTGGTTATCATGGTTGTGTGAATATATTGTCACTCTTTGTACTCTCCGCCCCTGCATAGAGGGGACATACCGGTCGACGTAAATGCGTATTTGTAAACCAAACATAGACATACTGGTGTCGTGAGTCATAAAGAAATAAGGAAGTCCAACATTTCTTTTCTTGTTCTTTTAACTTTACATCCTGTGCACACTGGGATCAATCTAAATATTCTTTAGCACAACTGATAATGAAACCCGGTTATTTTTACCTTTGAACTTTTTTTTTATTATGACTGAAGTGTTCCTATGGTAATGTAAACTTAAAAAAAAAAAAGGTAGAGTACATAGCAGAAGTGAACACAATTTAGAAAGGTTAAAGGAAGTAAAAACACACAAGATACTGAGAAAACAAAAAGGTTTTATTTTGTTGCTGTGTAGTGCGAAAAAAACGTTTGCTCATTTGCTCATGCTAGAAGTAATCACGGCAAATGTCCACTTGTGGATTTGGGGGTTAGAGAGGTGGCCACAAAGATCATGAGCCTAGATCAGCATCGTGACTGCACGTAGGAAAGAAGACGACACTAATTGAAACAGTGGGGACAGGCCAAGAGATATTGGCTCTGCGAAGGCCTGCGTCAAGACGACACTAATTGAAACGACACTTAGAAAACAAAAAGGTTTTAGCTGTTGCTATTGCTATGTAGGGCAAAAAAAACAAAACAACAAACAACAGGTTGTGCATTTAGGGCACAACATAAACAGTTAAATAAGATGATATGTTATATTCAGATGTACACACTGTGAGACTAAAGAAAAAAATAAACTCTTCATGTGTCCGAGCTGTGCTGTATATCAACTTGAGGATATATAATTACAATAATAGGATTAAATCTACGGGATTAAATAGAATTAATTGGATATAACAAAGCTAAAAGTTAGGTGTAAAAGCAAAGATTTATTACACATGGGAAACTGTTATAATCTACGGTCAGTCAGTGTTCAGTATTTTAACCCGACATGGTCAATGTGTAAAAGATCATCAATTTAAAACACAGCTCTTTACGTTAGGCCCTATGAAGGCAGATGGCTGCCCTCTAGCTTTTAAAAAAAGGTGTGAAAGCTGACCTAGTGTTGCCTTATCCAGAGAACTGATCCAATGAGCCAGGATGATGTAACACAATGACTCTGAATGGGCTCAAATGCACAATCCTCTGTACCCATACAGACACTGAAATGCCTCTCCCATTTCCCTTTAAGGGATGTTTCTTCTCAGAAAGATTGCTCTCGGCCGTAATATGTTGTTGTGGCCTGTATTACAGTATTGTGTGATTGGTGGCTTTACAAATACATCCGTTCTTTGCTGTTTGAACATGTTGTCATGTGAGTTTAGTCATTGTCCTACAGGAAACACATCCAACCCTTTTCCATTATAATAATTGAATATGTGCTAAAGGCAGGTTCAAAACCTTTTTTTTTTAATAGAAGTTTAATGGGAAAATTGGATGATAGGTTATTGTGTCTTTATCTATGTACGTACATGTGGCTGTGTATTTGGTGTAGCAAAAAGAGAGGGTTTTTCTAGATAGATAGATAGATAGATAGATAGATAGATAGATAGATAGATAGATAGATAGATAGATAGATAGATAGATAGATAGATAGATAGATAGATAGATAGATGGACTCTAAGCTGTGGCTGACGGACATTTTTAGAACAGAACGCGCTAAATAATCTTCTGAGGTCCATTTTAAGCAACCCATGAGTATTTAGGGAGTGGGAATAATGAAACCCCACCTGACATGCATATACTGTGTCCCTGAATAAAAAAGTCTTGTAATCCTTTAAGCCAATAAATACAGGACGCCGACAAAGAGGACAGAAGTCAAACAAGGTTGTATGAGCTATCCCTGAAAATATTGTGTGGGTGTGGAGAGCGTGTACCCTTCCAATTTGCTCTGCAGTGATTCAGCACTCAGCTAAAGTAAAGCTTACAATGAGGCAAGAAAGACAAAGAATTAGGAGTGATTGAGGTATTGCAGCTGCAACTTATAGAAATATACACCCTGGAGTTTATTGGATGAATGTATGTTGTTCTAGTGTTGTAGTTCTCACAGGAGAATATAAAGTTTCGCTGGTACTAGTCTTCCATGAGCATAATAAAACAGGGAAGCTGTTTATTTGAGTACTATAATTCATTAAAATTTTAATTTAATGAGTATTTCAATTTTATGATACATTATACTTGTACTTCACCACATTTCAGAGGAAAATGTTGTTCTTCTGATTAATTTAGTCAATAATGTTTAGCTAAAAAAAAACCTGCTGCTTATTACCAATTACGGTAAGGATATGCTACAACTGCATTGAGAGTTATAGTTAAGTCAAGATTTTATGTATAAAATATGCATTGTTACAGATTAAAGTACCTAACTTGACAACATTAAAATGATGTTTAAATGTTAATGAATCAGTAATACTCAAAACATATATTTGAAAGAATATAACACTCTGAAAGGGGAAATTTTGTACTTTTACTTTTTATACTTTGAGCACATTTTGCTTCTGTACTTCTGAGACTTTCAATTGTCACTGAGTAATTGTGCACTGTGTAATTGGTACTTTTACTGATGTAAAACATTTCTACACATCTTCCAGCATAGAAAGCTTAAATTCTTGAGAGCGGGACAAACGTACAAGACAGCAGGCATCTTATTACAAATTTCACCTTTTTGATATATAATGAAATTCAGCCTTTTGACCATTAAATCTTCCATAACTTGAAGAACCTTAAGCGCTTAACTATAAAACATTCACTTTGCCATGTTTTGCTACCGATATCTTAATCTGTCTTTGTTGAAATGCATTGTTTTTATACTCACAAATAACATTTTTACATCTTCGTTCATAAAATAAAAGTATTTTCCTAACTTTAAAGCTGCTTGGGGGGAAATATAAAAAAAGGAAAATCACAGTTTAAGAAGAGTGAAAAGATTACAGTGTGATGTTTGTGTTGAAAATTATCAAGAAGCACATGATAAAACATCACTAGACATTCCCCGCCTGTAGCTAGAGGTGTTTTGTGTTTTGAAAGACTCCCATCATGTGTTCATTTTCATGTGAAGCTCTATGCCTTGAAGAACTTTGAATTCCAGACAAGATCACTTTATTTCAGAGTTCATCTTGAGGATATAGTGCCCTTGTTTGAGTTAACCCTTAATATGCTTTTCATAGTAGTGAAATACAATACAATAGCGCTTGTGTACTACTCTTGAATAGAAGAGGCTCTTATTTAAACTTTCCAAGGTTTTTTAAATGAAAATAAGCGTTCTGTTCTCTCTCTTCTCTCTCTCTCTCTCTCTCTCTCTCTCTCTCTCTCTCTCTCTCTCTGTCTGTCCCTCTTTCTCCTTCTCTTTTTATCTTTCCCTCTCCCTCTCTCTTCATTGGGTGTTGTCGGGCCTTTATCAAGCACAGGCGTCTAATTCCTGAAGTGAAATCCTCTTAGGATCTATGCTCTATTTCTGTTTGGTCTATAGGGTCTTTTTTGAAATCTCCATTAGACCAAGCTCATTGGCTGGAAAAGACACACGCATGCACACAAAAACACACACCATCCAGCAACAGATAGCTTAGTGAAGTGATCGAGTGTGGACCAGTGCAAGGTAAGCTGCTGACACAAAGGGAGGACTTCACTGTGACGGTGGGAGGTAAGAAAAACTCTATCTCTCTTATTCTTTTAACATAATGGCGTGAAGTTCACTTTGTAGAAATGTTCAGAAATAGGAAGTTTAGTTTTGAATGTATGTTACAGGAGATGAATTATTTGGTTTGTGTGTTTTTAAATATATTTGGGGGCCATCTTGATTTTTCATGTATAAGCTATATTTTGCCATTAACACTGTTGCAGCATTAAAGCATAAGATATCATATAGAGAGGACTTTTAAAGCAAAAAGTTTCTTTTTAAACTAAAGGCTTCTGCACAGAGTGAGAACAAAAGATTCTTTCTTTTGGTACTTAGTTAAGTCATGAGTCTGTGTCTAATTGAAAGTCAGCTGTTTACAAGAGTTTATTGTCTTGTCTCTTGCTCACAAACATACACATACAGAATTAAAACATTAACACATGACTTCAGTTGCTCATGCTAGAACTAATCACAGCAAATCTCCACTTGTGGATTTGGGGGTTAGAGAGGTGGCCGCAAAGATCATCAGCCCAGATCAGCATCGTGACTGCACGCAGGAAAGAAGACAACACTAATTGAAACACTGGGGACAGGCCAAGAGATATTGGCTCTGCGTAGGCCTGCGTCACACACATCTACTGATCCGAACACTGACACAACAGACGTTACAAAGCAGTGTGAGAATTGAACAGTGACTATATGAAATCACATCATCATCATAATATTGAACCTTAAAAGGACATATTGAAAAATGTATCTGTTTTCCTTTTTTTAATATAGAAATGAATACATCAACTGTGTTATATATACACACATATATGTATTGCTATCATTTAAATTATTATGTCATGCTGTTGTTGTCTGATTTTGTTTTGTTTTTTCTTCATGGTTTCATGTTTTTAGTTGCCAATCCTGTTCCATCTTAAAACAAAAGCAAGCAAGAGCAAGATCTGTTGCAGTTCAGTAATCCTCTTAGACTGCATTAATTTAATTAAATATCATGGGACTCACTTGGTATCCAGTAGCTCTGTCACAGTGCAAAGATTTTAAATCTGTAGCTATACGATGACCTAACTGAGGACAATAAGAGCAAACAAGTGTTCTAGCCTTAAAGAAGTAAAATGATTATTCATTCAAACATCAAAAGCCCCCATCATGTATACAATACCTGCATGAATGACCTCCTTTAACTGTCTAAATTTTGTCTTACAGGAAGCTAAACAGGACAATGTCTGACAGAATGATTGATTTGGAGGAGACTGCAACCCACACAGGTAAGTAGAAGCAGTGTGTTCAAATGTCACACTGTAACTGAGCCTCTGACAATCTTTGTTTTTACTTGCGCCTTCGGCAGTGGGTCTTTTTGATCTATCTGTGGAAACATACATACATACATTTCGAGTATTAGTCATTAAGAAATGACTTGTGCCTTTACACTGATGACATTGACCATGACCAACAACAGTAAGACCAAAGCAGAGTACAGATCTGTAGAGCTTTAACTAACACGCTAATCTTTTTCTTACGCAACAGTAGTGCATTTAGAAGTCTTCCTAGAGGATTGGGATGAAGCTTTAATCCCCAAATTAAAACCGGACACAATGCCCACCAATGATTAGTAGCTGCACAGTGTAATTTTATTCATATAGCACCTTTCTAAATTGAATGTTTTCTGAAAGCTTCAATAATTGAATACAAAATGCTATTTGCTTTGTCCATAGGTCCAAAAGGAGTCATCAATGACTGGAGGAGGTTTAAGTTGGAAAGTATGGACCAGGAAAACCTGCCTCCTGCAAAAAGGGAACTGCTGAGACAAATGTCATCCCCGGGCAAGCCAAAGGAGGACTCCAGAGGAAACCTTAACCGCAAAGTAAAACCAAACAGACCACAGCAAAGATGGCAAACTTTTACTTTGAAAGGCAGCAATTGCTTTTGATTGAGAAGGAAGTCTGGTGAAAGTTTGTTGTAGTTGTTTTAGAAAAGTCTTGCCTTAACGAATGGATGAATGCATCTAACCATTAAACCAAATGGCAAATAATGCGATTCCTAGCCAATATAAATTGTCACAATTGTTTCAATGTCATTTTTTCAGATGAGTGTCCAAGAGTATGAACTGCTCAAGGAGGAAGATGAGGGATGTCTAAAGAAATACAGAAAGCGGTGCATGCAAGAGATGCATGATAAACTCAGCTTTGGGCCCAAGTTTGAAGGTGTGCATGACCTGGACAGTGGAGAAGCCTTCCTAGAAGTCATAGAGAAGGAGCATTACAGCACAGTGGTGGTTGTCCACATTTACAATGTTGGGGTCAAAGGTTGTGATGAGCTCAACAACTGCCTTGACTGCCTGGCCACTGAGTACCCCACGGTAAAGTTCTGCAGGATTGATGCTGTCGCATCCGGTGCTGCAGAGCGGTTCTCGGATGAGGTTTTGCCTACGTTGCTGGTGTACAAGGCTGGAGAACTACTCGGGAACTTCCTGGCCTGCACGCAGCACCTAAATGAGGAGTTCTTTGCCACTGATGTGGAGGCCTTCCTCAACAGCTATGGCCTGCTGCCAGAGAAAGAGCTGCCTGGTGTGGAAGATGAAGAAGAAAATGATGTAGAGTAAACAAAGAGTTTGGCTGTGGAGAAAAAAAAAGAAGCTGGATAGAGATGAAAGACAATTAATGACTACAGCAAATAGAAAAACCCTACCATCTCCACTAGCTCACTAGTGTTGAGGATTGTTCTCTAAAGGAGAAATTTTACATCCAGTTGGTGAAGAAACCTTGATGTTCCAGATATGGGTGCTCTCATATATGGGCCGGGGTTACAGTAAGTTGAGGCGACACAGCATTTATTTATTTATAAAAAATATATCACAAATCCCCTCACCACCACCACGAAAGCCAAAACCTGCTGACTGTAATTTTAAATAATTGCAATGTATTATTTTGTAATGATAGAAACTATTATATGTATAATATATATGTATAATATATATAATGTATGTACTTTTTTGTAGCATTTTATTAGGTTGGGAAGTTATTTATAAATCCAGGAAGTTATTTATAAATCCAGGGTTCGTACGAGTGACATCTTCAAATGTAATACAATATTTAAACACATGTACACTTAGGTTTTTGGTTTTTTTTGCCAAAATGAAAAAGAAAAACTTTAAAGAGCTAAACAAAACAGAAACTCTTAAGACTGAAGAGGCCAAAGCACTCTGGATGTAAAAACATTATTGTGTAAACATGTCTTCCATCTGTCTGTAAGCCAATGTGGTGGGAAGTGCATATTGCATCTGGAAAAAACCTCCATGGGACTATTTTACTGATATTACCATCAGTGAAACATCATCACTGAGGAGTATGTCCATTTCTTCATCTCATATTTGAAAGTCTGGGAGAAAGTCATGGAAATACACATAACGCAAACTGAGGGTCTTGGGTTTTCTTAGTGTGATATGAATCAACCAACAATTCCTCAGCGATGATCAGTATCATCTTCATCATATGTGATCTTACTGAGGATGTGGATACTATTTGTAACTGTGTACTGGAATGTGATGAAACATAGCTGAAAATAAAAATAAGAATAAAATCACGTAAAATAGTGAATTTTGTATTGCATTTTATTGGTTTACGATACTAGAAGGTCTGATTCTGGAAAACTAACAGTGAGAACAAGACTCTAGGAAGTCAGGGAAGTAGCCAGAACTTTGAGGTGCTGATTAAGGAGCTATAAAGGTGCTTAGTAGGTGGATTTTTTTCACCTTGGACAGAGCCATGCTAACTTTCCCCCTTGTTTCCAGTGTTTGTGCTAAGCTAAGCTAACAAGCTAGCAAGCTTATGAGCTTATCATCTCACTCTTGGCAAGAAAACAAATAAGCATATTTCCCAATTGCTGAAATATTCCTTCCCTGTAGTTCCTTCTTACAGACTGAGCATTGCAAAATTCAAAGGAAGGGCTCCTTATTCAGCCCATCTGTTTTCAAGGGCCTGTCTTACACTTCGATACAACTAAAGTCCCAAAATGTGACTGAATCTCAAGTTTAAACCTAATCTTCTTTATTAAATATTTCTTTATAAGAACCATTAAAAAAAAACCCTCTCAAATTGCACCTCTACTTTTTGCAAGAAATCATCTCATCTCAATTCAAAACAAAGGCACCAAGCTCAGGAAATGGCAGGCATGCAGTGTTACATATCCCTGCAGAGGACATCTCTCTTCTCTCCCGTTGAAGCAGGCTGCCGCACGTTAAATAACCTCATCTGCTAGTTTTGTAACTTAGACTTGACTCCCCTGTGACCCCAGTGAGCTGCAGGCATGCCAAAACCACAACGTAAAAGCAGGTTAATATAAAAGTAAAGACTTGCAATACTAACCCACAATTTGATATGTTGTGAATTAAATGAACATGCCAAATACCTGTACAAACTGACAAACACATTACAACACAAGCACATCTACTGCTGCTGCAGGAAACAGAGATTTGTAACAAAAGCAGATGATTGACTCTAATCAATTTTTATGTTATATATTTATGTTATATTATATTTTTAGGTATGTGAACATTTCTATATTATCTATATAGAGCCAGTTCAACTTTCATGAGTCACAGCTTCACTTGACTTGCCAGGAAGTCCCAACAAGCTTTTTAATTGTTGGTTTGTTCTGCTTTTTATTCTCTTTAGCTGAACTAACAGTCATAGTGATTGTTAATGTGATGATTCAGCCTCACTTTAACCAAGCTTAAAATAGTCCTATCAGAGAGCATATAGCAGCTTCATCACATAGTATTATTTGATGATGCCCAGTGCAGACATCTAGATAATCAGGCAAATCCTCTTACAAGATTAAAGTTGTAGCTTTAGTAGTAATGGTACTGAGTGTTTTTACACCTGTTGAGGTCCAAAGGCAAAAGAAAAAGTGTTAAATAAAATCTCAATTCCCCTGTTAAAATGAATAACATGAGGTAATACACAATTTTCCAGCTGTATACCTTTGCCAAAGCACCTCCAAACATATTCCTGCCTACTTTTATGTGGTTTCATGTAAGTTCCAGTAATTTCTGACTTATTGCCTGCAAAAGGGCACTTGATTTCTAATTACTCAAAATGCAAGAGATAGTGAACTGTGACACGCTAACACAGTGCCTGCCTTTCCACAGTACCACATCTGGCATGGCTTGCATAGCCTCTAGCTGGTAACTCCTCACTTTCACACAGTAGCGTGTCTAAGATTTATCAAAACCTTTCTAGATACCTCCCACAAGAACGAGAAGGTTTGAGGTGCCCAAACATGTCAGCCAGGCTGGTTGCTGCTGACCTAGAGAACTGTCTGCAAGAGTGGCAGTCAAGTAGCCAAATCATCCTGACTCTTCAGACAAGTGCGTGTGTGTCACCGCTGCCTCACAGAGTCCACACCAATTAAAGGAGCTTCTTCCCAGGAGTGTGCCTCTGAGCTTCAACCACACTCGTACAGTATATTTGGCATTCTTCCAATACGGACCACGGTTCAATGAGTGCAACAGAAGAGTCCATGCAACAGTTGAGAGAAGTATCAGCTAAATAGAAGATGATTCATCTGTTAACAATAAACCATAGTGAGGAGGCGTATTTTGCCTCATAATTTTGTAGAACGTATCATATAACTGATTGATCTCTTCTGAGAAGCAGGTTTATTGAGAAATCTGAATAACTCTGCTGAATAAAATTTAAAAGAAAATGATTTTGCATGTTCAAGACTTGGGGGTGTTTCAGGTTTTACCCTGTAAAGTTACCCAGTTACCTCAGTGAACTTGATTCTTGGAACAGGCCTTGCATGATTTGACTCATCACTCCCCTCAAACCAATGTTTACCTCAATGTTTACCCCTGCAATGGCCACCTGATCCCACCCCCATTTCTCATGTTTTGTTTACAGGGCTCCGCTAATTGGAGAACTTTTGTCATTTTTGTTGTTTGGACTCATGGAAAGCCCAGTTGCCACGCTCTAGTTCACTCACATAAAAAACTACTTGCACTGAGGTGATGTCATGACACGGCAGCGGAGAGCAGATTTGAGGCGCGCATGGCCCTTGTGACCAAATATGGAAAGTGGATGTTGGTGAGATGACATAACTATGAACCTTCCTCACTGGCCGTCATCATATATGTGTATTAGGTTACTTTGTTTAGGTGTTTGTAAATCGGCTTGACTAATTTTTTAAATGATGAAGTGATGATGTTAATCTGCTTGACTCATTTACTCCTGATGTGATTAAACAACTACATCAACACAGAATACTATTGAGTTATTATTACTAAAACAAAGGTGGAGTGAGCAAACTCTTAAAGATAACAAGAGGGAGGATGGAAGTGATAAAAATCAGGAGTATATGGATGAGAATGAATAACGAAGTTCTAAACTACAGATCACCCCTTTATCACAAATCCGACCTTTGGGTTGGTCTTACTGGGGTTTCTCACGCAAGCCTGACTTTACAAATAGTTTGAATGAATGGACAGGTAGATAAATGGACTGATGTAGATATGGAGGAAGGGATGGGTGCATATCCTAATCATTACACATCATGTTCTTTTGAATTTATAGGCTACAGGTCACTGCTGGGCATTTCAGTGTTACATTGAACTTAGACCATGCCTCAACTACTTCAACCACCATTGATTGCAGTGTGTAGATTGCATACTTCTGGATTTCCCTCTAATGGCAAGTGCTGACAACAATTAACATGGCTGACTCAGATTTAGAGGTATGCAAAGCAGTGTTGGTATAGGTTACTGTACATCTTGGTATCCAGGCGTGACAGCAGAGTGTACAAAAAATAGTTGTGCTGCCTGGGGCAAACATCTGCCTTAACAGTTCTCGTGTTCGTGCCTTGAGTCTTTTGTCTTCTTAAGAACCAATAAACCACTCAGGTATTTGTCAAAACTGGCCCAGGCAGGGTCTAAATACCTACCAGGCATATATCATTAGGGACGCAGTTAATAAATGACTGAAATTGAAACTGTGGAAGTAATTAAATACCACACACAGAGTAGTCATTGAAACTTGAAGGATATCAATCATTTTTGACATTATCTGCTGTTAATGAGCTAAACTCTATAAGTGTTTAGCTTTTAGTGTGAGGGGTTTTCAAGGGGGTGAAGACAATGTCAGTTAATTCAAATCCATTCAATGACAATATTAGCTCTGTGGCTGTGGGAATATGTTGCATCTTTTCAAAGCCCTAGCCAGGATTTTAAAAAACGATAAGGTCAGGAAGTGTTATGAATATATCAAAGATCACAAAAACTCACATTTTTTTATTAATTTAAATTAAAAAAGAAATTCTATTTAAATTATGAGGGAAATTATGTTTCACAGCTTTCTCGTCACTGTCAGTTACAGTATGTTTTGCCTTCAGATTTTAAGATATTTAGTCAAACAAGTTGTAAAAGCTTAAAAAAAAAAAAAAGCTTTAAAAACGTGTAATTGTAGGAAACAAACACTGACCTCCTAATTACATTATAGGTAATGTTGCAGCTCATAATGACAAGTATTGTTAGATGGACACACTTTCTCATCAACCCTGTGCTTGATTAACAAGTTCACCAAAGTATATTGATGATACCAGGCATCTCCAGTAATGGTCTCTGCACAAAATACTCTCATCTGTTATTGCTTTACGAGAAAGGCTTGAATCATATCCAATATCAATGTTGTTGTTGGTGAGAGGTTCACTTGTGTGTGTTCTTTGCTGTGCTGTTTTGTATTATATATTGTTTTGCACCTTATTGTAATGTAACTGGAATCTGATAGAGGGGGGTTCTGCTTGGTCATCTCTGGACTTCCCAGGAGTGCACAATTTAAGTTTTTCCATTTAAGTGACACATAGTGATACTTTGTCACACACACACCAGCAGCACATAAGCAGTCTTTTAGTTGGCCTACGTGCTGGCGCCATCTGCTGACCATGTTTGACAGAGGGAGTTGGTATTCGGTCAACACCAGAGGTCAACACAGAGGATGTTAATAAATTAATGGTTTTCACAATGCTATTTAACTATTAAGTAATAACAAGAGTTTGAAAACCAAGCTACAAGTGATTCCATTGTATTTCTTTAAAGAATATATTGAGCATCAAAGTTTATCCCTGACCTTTTCACACAAATAATCTTAATTCAAGGTCCACTTACACATACTAGCTTTCTTAAAAAACAAAAAAAAATATTTATATATATATATATATATAGCATATAATGTGACTCAAATTTGAATTTCCTTGTAAATATTTGTATGGATATTTCAACGCACACAAGACACGTTTATTCTCTCTCTTTCTAAAATATAAAGTAAAGCTATTCGTTGCGGAATATGCCTGCTATAAGTGGGATACATATAATAATGTATATATATATATATATATATATATATATATATATATATATATATATATATATATATATATATATATAGTGCTTTCTGAAGTTTAAACGTAAGAAATACAACTCCCATGATGCACCAGCGGCACTGACGAACTCAAATCTCAAACTGCGCCTGCTCGAGCCTCTTGTTGTCGGAAAAATGGCGGCACTGCTGCTGCAGGAGTTGGACAGTTCCGAGATATCTAAGCT